CGGGATGAAGGTACGGGGTACGTCCTGTCTCCCTTTTCTTCCATGGGCGTGATCCAGAAGAAACGCCACGCGACAGGCCGAGAAAGCCTAGCATCCATAATCTGGGGAAAAGCGATACATTCCACGGCGGCGGATGCAACCAAAAAGTGAGCAGACGCGATGGATGTGGCACCCAAACGTCGGGCAACCGTGCAGGCGTATTGACAGAACTGTGATCAAACAGACAGGCCAGACCAGAAACACCTGTTCATGAGAATGATTTTGGCAGCATGCGGTTGGGTGACTGACTTTGGTAGGAGTGCGGCTTGGAGATCGGCCGCTTGGCTCTCGTCATTGCCGGCCGCACCGCAGGGATACGCGAGCCATGGCACACGGAATCGACGCGCGAAGCCAAGACAGCCACCATGCTGCCAAGGCGGACTCGCGGTGAGCGATCAAATTCCACACGGTCGCGTTGCCAGGATTCGGTGAGAAATCCTCTTCGAATTCTGAATGTCTACAGGGCGCTTGCGCTCCTATGCTCTTGGCCTTTTGCAAGCGGCTCCGGCACCGTGGGCCGAGTGTGTAACACCACGTCTCGGGATGAGCGACTGGAGTGATGCCATGACGATCGCGAGACCCTCACGTGCGAGTCAGCTAACGGTGCGACCAAACTTGTTGCATTATAATTGGAAAGCTGAACGTGCCCTGAAGCCTTACCGGCGTCTTAGCATGTCCCGAGGCAGACTTGCTTACGCATTCCATCAAACAAGACTCGACCATGCAGATATCCAAGACTGCAGGCTGCTATTAGTTAACGTTGGGAAAAGACTTGTGGTAAACTCATTCACATCGATAGTCCGCCACGATGCTTCCATAACTGATTGAATGACGCTACTGCTTACTGAAGTGGTGGAGGGGCCACTACCAGTAGAATCTTTTTAGGCATTAACTCCAGATGCTAAAGGCTCGCCTGCATGTCATTTGTACTTGACCAGCCGCAAATTTCCCCAAATATTTCGATGGCAGGAAGTGCTGCGTCTCCGACTTTCCACTCCGGAGGCCCCGGACTCCTCCGCTAGTACGCCGGAGTTGTGTCCGGGGCCCCAGACATCATGCCCCGTTCTCCGCAGAATGAGATTAAAATCGAGCATAACGGTCCGATTGAAAAAGGGGCTCGCTTTCCTGGTCGCTGAAAACAACGGTCCGATTGACCTGGTTTTTGGTGGAGAACCCCATGGTATTAAATGGAGCTCTAATGGCTTGGCTTCTTGGTTTTACACGTGTACAATGAACATCTAAACACAGTTTCTGAACTCTATGGATACTCAAGAATGCGCTGTTTGGTCATGAAAAGTTGTTGGGGGTTCTCCCTAGTGCCTGCATCTTCCAGTCCACGCATCGACCCTCGACTCCTGAGACTGATGTATCGTGTTTTTTTCACAAACCTTAGCAGAAGGGAACGGTGCCGCTATTACCAGATCAGAGTTTCTCAGAAGCCTGCTGTAGTATGAAGTAGACGCCAGGCCTTTTGCCCTTATCAGAACATTCAGGTCGCGTTGCTCACTTGCAACCTTACAGAAACATCTTCAAAAAATTGTTTCGTTATTGCAGCCACTTTTCTGCCCTTGCAAAGAATTGTGCATTAGTTAGCATAGCCAAGTTTGACCTCTTGCTTGCTTCTGGTTTCTGACTTGGTCTGGGTGTCACAACATTTTAGAGCTCTAAGTCTTGGTAGAAGAGTGTAGCAAAGAGCGGGTTCAACTTTTGATGCTAATCGCAATGCTAATGCATCAGAACCAGACATCGCTAGAACAGAGCTGTGTTGAAGATACCAATGTTGCTGCTTACCATCGGTGTTCCGTCCGTTGCTGATAGCCGTGTTGGCTGAGTGGACCTGGCTACGACAAAGTCGTCGGTAACATGGACATGGCTATTCAAACAAAACATTGTACGGTCACCTGATGAGTGTTCCGTGACAACGAATCCTCCGGACGATGTACAAAGAACTTTGGAATGTCTTGTTTCTAAACATGCTAATAAACAGCATTATGGTTCGTAACAATGGCTAGGCGATGATGGATTAGAGATGGACAACGAAAGTTTTCTTTGCCTTTGAACAATGAATTCATCATCACTCAGGTAAGTAATGCCATGGATCAGATTAAAGCAAGAGGGCCGCCACCAAATCCCGATTTTTCGAGAAGTATCAAACACAACCTCAAAACAATTAGACACTCATACCCGAAAGCGTGCCTCATAATCTTGCGGTATTCCGACTTGACGAAAGAACTATTTGAGCTCGGATTGCGAACTAGGTAGGGCTGGATACATTTCTTCCAGCCGCCGGGTGTTTCACCAGTATCGAAAGCGGTGCCTTTTTCAGAGCCACACCATCGAACGAACCGCACCCACCTAGTGAGATGTCGAGAGACGGCGATAGTTTCGAGGTCGCCCTGCCGCTATTCAAGCTGTATTTTGGCGAAGAACTGGTCGACTACTTTCTTTCAGATGTCAGATATCTGCAAAAGGAAACTGACATTATGAGGCAAATGTATATATCTGCAGCCCAGCCTCTGTACTCGCTACGAATGAAAGTTGCCGCCAAAACCGCGCAAGCCAAACTTGGGAAACTCCGAAATCAGCCAACATTGATGAAGAGGGCTGGGAGAAAGGTAAAACGCTGGGCAAATGGATCTAGTATCCTTTCATGGTGGCGGCATTTCAACAGACACGCACGAGACACCCCTACAAGTAAGCTGGCCAGGGCTGAACTATTTTGCAAACTATTTCCAGAACTCGACTGGAGAGCTGGTTCAAAACGTGAACCTTGGTTTTACCTCTTTCTTCGCACTCATATTTACGCTTTGAAGGCCGGGACCACAAGGTCGAACGAAATCGTCGACGAACCACTGCGGTGGTGCTTCCGCGCCGACTACCTCGTTGCGAATATTATTCGTTTACGAGACAGGGTTTGCCAAAGTTGCCTGACCTTTTCTTTCCAAGCATGGATGGGCCATGGCTCAGAGCCCTGGCAATTGTATCCCACCAAAACGGCTGCATTCGCTGATCTGATAGGCCGTTTTCGAGCCACTTCCATTTTCCCTCAATCCGGCATGGTGTATGAGAAAGATTTAGGAACAGGTGAGAGACAGCCAGAATCATTCGAAATAAGACTTCGACCCATTCGGTTCCTCGCGGCTGAAATGATGGATGCTTGCATACCACCCGCCGACTGGGACGCGATGTTGATTGAGATGCAACAACTTATTACTAGACTGGGAAGTTCTCACAAAAACAGCAAGATCTGTGCGATGAGGGACCTACTGTAGCAATAATGGATAGGAAGCTTCGGAAGGAACCAAGTGCGCAGAATTGGCTTAAGTGGCAGCAAGATGCAGGAATAAGAAGAACCACTGGAAAAACATGAAGACAACGACCATATCTTTGATTTGGCCAGGCATGGATGTGATATGTAAATCAATACGGTTGTTGTCGGATAGAAGCAACCAACGTTAATCTATCTCTTAGTAGGTTCCAGACATGACAGAAAGGCGACCTCCGTCGGTGAGAAGAATTGAACCATTAGAATAGCTTCCTGCTCGACTCGCGAGGTACAGAATGGCGCCGCTCATTTCCTCATCGCCACCAAATCTCTGAGCCGGGATGAACTTGTCATCACTAGGGGTCTCGTCCTCTGGTTTTCTGTCACCAATGATTGAAGCAGCCATGTCGGATGGATACACTATGACGGTCAGATATCTTTTCCCTTTGACTTTGGCGGCTCTCAAGTCACAGGAAATGGGGCAAATGACTTACATCCTGGGGCGAGTGCATTGACGCGAATGCCAAACTTCGCTAGCTGGGTGCTGGAGTGCTTGGTGACATGCATGATCGCAACTTTGCTAGTCGTGTAAGGAGGCGTCGAGACCCGATGACGACTGAAGGCTGAAATGCTGGACGTGAAGATGACCTGGCTTTGGACAGTCGGGACTTTCCCACCAGGAGCGGGCTTTCCAAAACCACCCTTGAGCGCGTTCTTGTTGCCAGCGTCAAGCAGCTCAAGGAAAGCAGTCATCGTGAAGTACGCGCCCGTCACGTTGATGTTCAGCACATCGTTCATGTCTTGCATGTTGAAATTGTCGAACATTGTCTTGCGCGTCTCCGAGATGTTCTCATCCGGATTGAAACGGACCGGAGGGCCCAAAACACCAGAGTTGGCAATCACAAGATTGACATAGCCGACCTCCGTGGTAACCTGGTCGACAGCGGCTTGGAGGTCACTCTTGGAACTGACGTCGCATTGAATCGGGACAAAGGCTGCATTGTCCTTGGCTGCCGCCTGCAGAACATCCAGGCGGCGACCTAGGATGTAGACCTTCTGGGCTCCGTTGGCAGCCAGTGCCTTCGCCATAGTGAGACCGATACCTGTGATGATGATTCAATAAGAGGCTGCGGGGGGTTGTGGCTGAGGTGGCTGGGACTCACCACTGCCTCCGCCAGTGATGACGGCGACCATGCCATCAACGCGAAAAAGGGTGCTCGAATCCATTGCTTCCGGTGTTCCGATGGGGATGTTGAGGTGATGTCTGTTCTGTGTTCCTTTGTTGACTGCACGCTCAAAGTCGAGAATCACTGGCAGTTATATACCCGTTCCCCCTCATCCCAACGAGCTAATCATTGAAACGGACGTTTCCCAGGTACCCAAAGCCACATGTTCAAGACAATGGCCGGACTTCAGCTGCAGACTAGGTTACACAGGCTCAAGGGGCGATTGACCAATCAAATCTTTTGCCTCTGAATAGATCTTACATCAGAACCTTAGCGGCGGCTGCAAGCTCCGACGACGGCCGACGGCGGCGCCGCTGCAATTGGTTAGACCAGCGGTTACAAATCAAGCCAGCGGTTTAGAGCATATGATGTGAATCCATCACTGCTCTTCGCATCATGAATATCTTCTCGATGCATGGGCCAAGCTGGATTGATCAAGGTAAGAGATGTCCTCAGCACTGCCTCTGATCATGGCGGCCGACAGCGGCACACGCAGGGCTACCTTCGCCGCCCAGGTATGCCTGACGTGCAAATCTCGGAAAAAGAAATGTGACAAATTGCTACCCAGTTGTGGATATTGCGGAAGGTAAGCTCGATCGACAGAATCTACGTTTCCGAGTAGTAACGCGCCGCAAAGGAAAGGGCTGAGATGCCGTTATGTCCGTCGAGCGCCATCCCCAGCCCACAAGTCAAAGCTCGCCGAGGCGCACTGCAACCGCAAGTCAGCGAATGTGATCCCCACGGATATTCCATCTTCGGAATTGCACTTGTTCGTGCGAGTCCAAGGCCTGATACGAGACACTGGTCAATATGTGGACGGGATCAGTGTGCGCTATTTCGAGGGCCTTCATCAGTATCTGCCTTTCATCTCCAGATCTCATTTTGAAGATAGCCTGATTTTTTCAGGGGTGTCTCCACCTGCAGAACTCTCAGTCCTTCTTTTGAGTATGTGCTTGGTTACATCTACACCAAAGTTGGGGAAGCGTATCAGCCATAGTCTCTCCGGCAAGCCTATTGACCTTGAGAGCCTCTACTTGGTTACGAAATCACTCCTGGCCCAGGTCCAAAGTCATTATCCTTGCTCACTTCGTTTGGTTCAGTCAAAACTTCTGGTATCTGTATACGAGTATGCAGATGGGCGTCCAGATCAAGCATTTGCGACCCTAGCTGGCTGTGCTCGACTAGCATATGCTGCGCGTCTTCATCAATGCCAGCCTCAAGCGTCATTGAGATCAGCTGGGCCTATATCAACTATCCATGCAAATTATCAAATGACTGACCGTCATGGAGAATCTCAAGAGATTTTCAACACATGGTGGGCGCTTGTGATTTGCGAGCGGTAAGTTTCAATGCATCTCGGAGTGCCATACTTGCTGACTTCGAGGCCCTTGTAGATCAATCTTTTGTGAAGTGACAGTAGATGAGCAGCCACTTGTCACTCTCATGCCTAAAGATGACAGCGACCTTCCAGTGGAGATCCGGTGTGGTAATTGGTCCGATGTCAAAACTCAATGCTCAGTTTCGAGTTTGTCTGTGAACAATATTGAGGGCTTCGGTCGAGTTGCTCAAGCAACATGGCTAGTGAACAAGGTTCTTATGGCTTTCAAAGTATCCAATACAACTTCTCGCCTGACTCGACTTCGGGATCTTGACGCAACATCTCAAGAGTTTCTTGCTCAGCTTCTACAACAGCATCCAGGAAGCGGGGGTATCATGTGCGAAGCTATTTCAATCACTTTGAGGTAAGCAAGAAGTATATGTATGGCCTGCGCATTTCCCAATACTGAGAAAGGAAACAGAATGTTATTCGAATTACATGATCACATACTCCATCAAATCCCCAACGACTGTAATGACGACGAATCAGTGCTTGAGACTTGGCGGATGCAATCACGCGCTGCACTTCGTGCTGCGACGAAGATGGTCGTCGAAATTGCTCAAGCACATGAAAATGCAAGCTCTTCTGCGTTCTCCTTCTTCACTATAGCCCCAAGCTACTCATACCTTCTTCGAGTCGGCATTAAGAATCTTCATCAACAGGTTGAAGAGGGAAAATGCGATTGGCTTGAAAGTGCCGAGGGGCGTCTTCGCTCTGAGTTGGGCAGGTTTGAGACCTAGGCTCTTTATTAATTGGCAGTCGGAAGGGGGCAGTCGGAAGGGGGCTGGTGGTCTGGATACAATTTCTCTTGAATCAGTGTCCAAAAGAACGAGCCGAGATGCGAAACTTGCTGATCTCAAATGAGTTATGTAAACTGTAAGAAGAAGCATTACAGCAGAATGGAGAAGTCTATCTATGTTACAAGATCTTTCTATCTATTAACCTGTTTCGCTATGATTCCCTCTAGTAAATACCCCAATCTCCGTTCAGCTTCAACTCGGGCGTGTTGATTCCCTGCTTCTCCTTCTCAAGTTCTTCCTGCATAGACCACGGCTCCCACTTGTGCCCTTCAGGGAGGTTCGTGTGTTCAAAGGGAGCACCGCTTTCGAGGTGAGCGCGCGCTTCCCCAAATTTCTTCGTTGCGTATTCTTCGGCATTGTGCGTCCAGATCCATTTCCCAAGACCCATTGGTCCACCAGGGGGTGCGTGCTTCATGACTTCCTCCATGCCTCCAAAGCGATGCATCTCGCGCCTATTTTCATGACCCAGGCGTTGCAGGATCGATGCGCGGCGAAGACTGTTATCATAGTGTCAGTCATTATCGCCAGATACCAAAAGGTTATAGCAAGACACATACCGTAAGAGTTCATGAATCTTGGTTCCGATGTCAACATTGGCCTTTCCTGCGAGTCGAAGACATTCGGGCAGCGACTGGGCATCTTCCAGTGCAGTAGTGGCCCCGGATGTCGAAGACGGAATGAAGGCGTGTGCACTATCTCCGAGCTGTATGATACGTCCGCCTGGGGATGTCCACTTAGTCTGGGGGTCTCGCCAACACAGCTTCCACTTGACGATGCTATCTTCGGGAATGTTTTGAATGGCCTCAATGATCAAAGGGTCCCAATGCTCCGTGTCGGAAGCTTTAGGAAGCTGCTTGATGAAGTCCTCGCTAGTGATGGTCTCAGACCAGGACTCTTGTGCTGTACCATCATCCTGGAAATCAGGTCAGCCGCTTTGCCTACATGGAGCTTTGGAGAGATAAGGGAAACTTACTGGCATCGTGACGCCGACAACTATGCCGTCACTAGCGGCTGTAACAACGCAGTGAAACGTATCACTGAAACGTTGAAGACATCAGTTTCTCTTCATTCTTCGTCATTAATACAAAGACTGCTTACCCTGAGTAGGCTCTCATGTCAGGCCTCTTGAGAGTCGCCAGCTTTTGATGCAGAGCGGTGTTTTTCTCTGGGTCCAGACGGTAGAAAATTCGGCAAATGACGAATCCAGTCGACACAGCCCGGATCACCTCTCCCATAACGGCTTTGTGCGACTTGGTGCCCAGGCCGTCTGCAGCAACGACAACATCCGCCGTGAATGTACGACCATCATCAGCGATAGCGCTGGCGACTTCGCTGTTGGAGTCTTCCGTGTAGTCAATGATGTTCACGCCGAATGTCACGGGAATGCCTAGACGTCGGCATTGCTGGTAAAAGATCTCGTTCAGGCCCGGGCGGCTGACCATGCCTCTCACTCTCAGGGGCCAGGCGGCGTGGTGCGGAACATCGGACCGATTGTACTCGAATTCTTGTGGCGGCGCAATGAGACTACCATCGAGCCTTCGGAAGGAGCAGAAGTTGTCCCATGAATGGTCGTGGTAGTCCTTCAGCAGGGTTGGGTAGTATTTCAACGTGGTCCATGCTGAAGGCCCAATGAATAAAACGTCGCCTTAACGTAGCAAAGTTAGTACGGAAGTTGAGCCGTCGGTGACGTAGAGAACTGACCGATTGTTGAGTTCTGCTCGCTCTTCTCTAGAATGCTGACATTGTGTCCCTTTCTCCAACACTCAAGGGCCGTCAAGTAGCCTGCTGGGCCACCTCCGACGACCAGAACATTGATCCCGGTAGAAGGCCATTGTAGAACCCCATCGACAACAACACTTTCGTGAGTTGGTTCGGGGGCGTCGAAGTTTTTCACAGTCATGGTGGATGAGGAATAGTTGAGGATGCCAGTGCAGAAAACGAGAGGTCGTGATGAATGGCAGGCGCTGCATGGGACTTATATGTCTCATAACCCTGTTCCTTCTGTCTATCTCTGGCTTATCGATCTTCCCTAGTAAGTTGGGCCACGTTGATGCCATCGCCGGTCTTGTGGGGCGGACCACGGTGGAGGTGGGCCTTGCACGGCGTGGACAATTGGATTGAGACCGAATCGGTTCGGGGCGTAATAAGGTGCCGACGATCTTCGAATTTCGGGAACGCTATGTCGTTTTAGGAAATCCCGTAGACAAAATAACGGGCATCGGCGCCAAGAGTCATTTGAATGCCTGTATTTCGCGCCATTATCCATGACATTTCTGGCGCTTTAGGTCAAACCAGGAGTCATGTGTTCTTGGGATTGGGTGCAATGGTTCAACTGGAGTTCCGCGATATCGGGACCGACAGCTGCCAACTGAAGAGCCGCCCTTGTCATCCCGAACCTTAAGCCATCAGTGATGAAGTCCACGTTGCCCAGTTCATGAGGTAGGGACCCACTGCTCAAGCTTTCCATCTCCCCTCGAAATACTGGTCGTTCCCATGATGCATTGAAGAAGCTTGCTCCGTAGTTCTCACATCTCTAATATTCTTGATCCGGACAAATACCACATAAGTACGGAATACCTTTCTCTACCTATGCCAGCCCTAATCTCATCACAGGCTGAAAAGTCGATTATCAAGAAAGCGGAAACGCTCAGTCATCTTGGCGATAGTTTCCGCTTGTCGAACACGAGGCAGTCAATCTACTCTAGAAGTTGAAGGTCTTCTCATTATTGGGCAAGGTATACTTTGGAACAACTTGAGACTTCTGTCCGGTCCTCACGCGCGTCGGATGCATGATCTTGCATCTGCAGGAATAGGTCTGTCATGCAAGGAGATGCCTCCCCATGCACTTGATAAAGGCTTCAAGTGAGTGAGAGCTACGAGTTATCATCTCAATAAAATATTACCATGAACGGAATGCCTTTGGCAATTTTCAAGTCTCTAACGCCTGCTTTATTGGCCCACAATGCCCATCTAGTGACGGGGACTTCAAATCAAGTATCTAGAGGAGCATCTTCACCCAATATACAGAAATTCAACGAAAGTACGGCATTCAATTGCTCATCGTACAGAATATTGTTGACAATCATTCGCGAGGCATCTCACAATAACCGGGAACTTGTCGAGCTAAGGTGAGCGGCATTAGCGAAAACCATGCCACGTGGATTTCCTTTCAGACGGCCTGCCTTTTATATAATCAGGCAAAGTAATATCAGACAAATGAAGCTTGTGATGTCTTCCTTCCGGATCTGTATTCCGATCTTGAAGGCTGGCTACCGTGAAACCTAACGTGCTCTGCTATTCTATGGACCAGATTTCCTTGTAGACCGCCTACCCTTTGATGTAGTCAGGCAAAGTCATACAGCAGTCAAAAAGGTGCGCCAGCAGGCGGCAAATTGTGAAAACAAAGTTAGAAGGGAAAGAGTTAATCAGGCAAATTAAATGACAGATGAATGAAGCTTGCGATACTTCCCTTCGGAATATGTATCCCGATCTTGGAGGCTGGCCGCTGTGAAACCCGACGTGCTCTGCCATTCTGTGGACCTGGAGCGAGCCTATGGTAAACTGACCACGAGCAACAACGATTAGATCTTTAATCAATCTGCAGATCTGTCCACTCTAGGTGCTCCACCTCTAGTCCTGGCACTCTGATATATCGGGAATGTGTGTAAGAGGCCATACGAAAATCACTAGTACGAAAGGCACTTTCGGTTCCCCACCCATGACGCTTTTATTGTTACCATTCACTCGCTTGCTGCATTATCCCAGTCTGCTACTCACACTCATCTGTTGACGGATGCCAAGATTCACAGAAAATACATCAGCTACACGGTAGAGCAACACACTCCCATCTGGGGCTCACGTGGACTCGGTGATAAGTCACATACGCGAAGACATGTGAGAGAACCTATATTTACTAGTTATCAATTTCATATCACCCTCGGGTACAATAACGTGCCCCTTCTGGGAACGTTAGAATCTTTGATGCTATCATTCTGCAACACGTTAACCGGAAAGATCCCAACCAATACAGACAGGAGACAGAGCACTCTCGCCTGGGGGCCGCACGAGGACATGACGATGGCTACAAACTAGTTGGAATCGGCCGCGAGATTTTTCAATTTAATGAAATTACACTTCGTCCGATAGTTTGTGCTTGGTTTCGTTGATTTCGGTACGATCATTCTCTTGTTGAAAACGATTTTGACTTGATAGATTACCTTACGGATGAAATAGTAAGCCAACTGGCGAGCGAATTCTTGATTGATCGCAGACATGACGGAAAGGCCCCCAGGACTGACCTGTAGCTCGGATTTGCAAAATATCTGCGGTCTTCAAAGCTGAACACGACGCATTACTGAAATTGGGGCGGGATCGGAAGGGACCGAGACCAGTCTTTAACGAGCACGAGGTCAAGGTGGCACCCTGAACTTTGACCACAGTTGTGGCTATGTCGCTGCATGACATCGAGCTTAAACTAAGCCTTAACTTTTCAGATCGACTTTCCGTATGAGACTTGCAACGGCCTTTGCGTCTGAAGTTGGGGTTTCATTGAGCCTAAGTATACTCGGCAACATGCCGACTGTAGCATGTCGCTTCCAGCTTAGCCCAATTAGAGCGGAGCCGAAGTTCATAGCGCAAAAGTCAATTGGCTCTCTTCACTGCTAGAGTAATCGAGCAACGTTGGTTGGCCATTCCTGCGTAGTGATCTCAACCCCCTCACTGAAGATCCCGGACACGCACGTCACAGTGGAGACATCAACACGAACACGGGCCAAGATGTGAGCTTCATGCGCTTCAAAGCAATTTCTTCTGAGCGCTGGTCTATCATTGGATATGTCTAGACTTTCCGAACTAGAGTACTCTCGTCGAGACTCCTCAAAGGCCTCTTGGCCTGTTTTAACTATTCAAAAAATGACCGCTCATTCACACAAAGTGTATCCATCAAAGTATATCCCAAACGCCGTGCCTCTGACAACTGATTGTGTCCCAGGGCGGAATGCCTAGCCCATCTGATATCATACCCAGTCGTAATGTGACAATTTTGGTTGTCTACCACTTGATGACCCTGGAGGGGAAGTACTCATCAATGAGCTCCATGTAGTAAGGCTAAAAGCATGTTAGTGTGTGATGCATGTGAGTGGTGAGACTTTGAAACGTACCTTGAGCTCCTCGACGGAGGGAGCATCGTCACTCTTGCTGTACAGGTCGTAGGGGTTGAAGGCAAGGACAGCCTTGAGAAGCTCCTCATCGCCCTCCTTCATGAACTCGCGGTAGGCGCCCTCACGGTGCCAGGGGTAGAAGGAGTGGTAGCGGATCATGGCGAGAGCCTCGCGGGGGAGCTTGGACTGCTCCTTGCAGACGGTGTACATGTACTCGTCATGGCCCCAAGAGATCATGAGGTTCTCGATACCGCAGCCGGGCTTGTAGATGCCGTGCTTGGTGCTGTAGACAGGGTGGTGGATGTCGGGGTTGCCCTCAAAGGTGGTGGGGAGGACAATGCGGTTGTCGAAAGCGCAGCCGACGGGGAAGGTGTCGCCGACGACGTCCCACTGACCCTCGGCGCCGTAGAAGAAGAGGAGCTTGCCGAGATCATGGATCAGGCCGGTGAGCTGCATCCAGCGGGGCTTGCCGTCGCGGCGCATGGCCTCGGCGGTCTGCAGCAGGTGCTGGATCTGGGAGAGCTCGGTGTCGGGGTCGGAGTTGTCGATGAGGGTGTTGAGCTTCTCCATGGCCTCCCAGATGGTCATCTCGTCGCGGCAGGGCTTCTTGCCGGTGAGGTCGATGGCGAACTTCTCGCGGGCGGCGAGGTTGTACTCGACGGTCTGCTTCTCATGCTGCTCCTTGTAGAAGTTCTTGACGCGGTCGCAGGCGTCCTCATACTGGCGGAAGGCGGTCTTGTCCTTCTCGGAGTCGAACTTGGAGTCCTCGTAGGTGGTGTCGTCGGACTGCTTGTTAAGCTGGTCCTTGAGGATGTTGACCTCCTCGACGAAGTCGGTGGTCTCCTCCAAGTCGTGGCCGTTGGTGGGCCTGACAAAGGGCTGAGCGACGGCAGCGGCCATTGTGAATGATGTGAAAGAAGATGGAAAATTGACTAGAAAAAGCAATACACTGAAGATGAAGAAGATTTGGGGTTCCTCTCAAATGGTAACACTGAAGATGAGAAGACTGAATTGGTGTTGAACAAGAAGATCTGGACAGGCTCTTCTGGAGGCAGTCTTTAAATATGTTGTTGATGGCAAGACAAGACCGGCAGATAGAGATGAGAGATTGGTATGGAGGACGACAAAACGATGGAGGAGCAGTCCCGGAAACGCCATAGCAGACTGGAAAATCTCGGAGAGAGCGAGTGACATGTGTCGCGGGGCACGCATGGCGGGGGAGACAGGTACCTCCTCATGCCGGTTTGACGTGAAGTTTCGTACCTGTCAAGCCAACTTGGCTAAGCAATCCGAAAACCTACCATTTCCCGCCACGGCCATGTTCCCGCTTGGCCGTGCCTCGTGGATCATCGTGGTGATGACCGTGGAGCAGGAAAGATGGGGCGAGATTCAGATCTGTGGAGAGCGTTGCGATGGAGGCGTCGAGGAATTGGGAATTTCAGGTTTTGGATGGACAAACAGGGGCAGAATCGCCGACGGGTTTCCTGAATGAGGCACATCCTTTTTTTCGAGAGCGTCTCCAATTTTTCCAGAACTCTTCAAGAATTCCCTCTTTTGAGCATCACATGACTTGGCCGCAGCTTTCGTCTGCCAAGCCATGCCTCTTTTGGACCGGTGGAAAACACCAAGAATCCCGCGCTCGCAGTTCTGGGGAATTATTCCCGAAATTCCTTAACCACATCCCTGCAACTCCAACGCTTCCTCCACACCATCATCCCGCTTCTCCTCCACGCCAACCGCCATCCGGGAAGGCCTCTGAATGCAATGTGACGGCGCCTTGCGTCTCTCCCTGCGGCGAAGCTTAATTCACGCCCCGCCGCATCATCATGGGATTCGCAGACTATTTTTGAAATTCCCTCTTTCGAAGTACGCCTCCCGGGATCCCATGCAGCGCATCTCCATCCCCGCGGGATCCCCTCCTGGATTCAGTAATGGCTTCCCACTGATTGGGCGTTCACGAACACTTCACACTTGCCGAAAGGACCCTTGCCAAGACGCCCCTCACCGTCCCAGACGTCTGCAATCTCTTCCAGGCCAACTGCGTCTCCAATACGGGCAGAGTCTGACATCAACTCTGGGTCATCTCATCGGGGCCTCCTTCCCAATATCGCTCTTCGTGGAAGTTGAGGGCGAGCCAGCCAGCCCAACCCCACGCCGCCCGCCCCAGACATCCCCGCGATAATGTCTTGCCAACCAACACTCTGCAATAGCTGTCATATTCACGCTCAGGCCACGGGGCACACCTTACGTAGGACTCGGAATGCGTTGTCTGACGCCAGACCGCAGGTCCCGAGTGTGTTCCGGAACGCGGCATGCGGGGATGAGAGACACAATACGCCGTAGACTCTGGAATAGCTAGCCTCAGCCAAGGAGCTGGAATCGCGAAATATGTCCGATTCTTCGGCCCTGCATTGCATGAGAGCCAAGCGAGGCCAGATCCTGCCGTCACAAAACACGAGAATCTATACTACCTACACCACCATGTCGGGTATCCACAGATGCTAAACCAAAGGGAATCCAAAGTCCGGGGCTCTTCCAGCCCGTCTATCGTGATCCAGATCCGTCCGAGTGGGAAAACAAGCCTGCCAACAAATCATTATCGCGGCCCAATCATGAGGGCCTTCATCAAACGCCTTCACGACAACTGGCCCGCCAGTCCAGGCGTGGCAACAACGTCCTTTTTTCCCCGGGGGGCGCCAACCTCGCTTCACCCCTCGCTCATCGCCTCCCCGTCCATCCAACCCCATGCGTGCATCAGCTGATCTTTTACCGCTGTCGTGGGTCGCGCGTGGGCCTTTTCGGTGATGCTGAGCATGTTGAGAAGAGCCTCCTGGTCGGCTCTCTCGTCGAAGCGATCACCAGCTTGAAAGGGGGCAGAAAAGTCAGTTGCTGAAACCCTGCAAGAACCGTGTCGCAGATGAGGGAAAAAGCAACGAAAGGGGGAAAAAGAAACAACTTACCAATAGCTATCCCCATGCATGCCGTGAACATGGCTGGAGGTGACCCCTGGTTGCACATGCCAATGCCACAGAGACTGCGTAATAGTACTTGGATCTGCTCTGTTAATCGCCTTTCCGCCGCCTTACGCGTTCCCCCGACACGCGGGATGCTCGGGTTGAACAAGACGAGGTACATTTCGGCGAGAATGTGGTGTTGGACGGCGATGACTGCCACCGTAGTTAGTCATCACCAAACACGATGAGAAACAAAGCCAAACGACATGACGATGCCTTCGGACACCGAAGGCGTCGAGAATGCCGGGCCGGAAACCGGCGGGCGTCAGGGGCAGGTAGGTAGGTAGGCAGACTCACTGTGACACGCTTTTTGATACCATACTTCGGGAAAAGCCTCCGTTTCTGTCCTCTCGCGGTAGAAGATGGGCGTGTACGAGGGCGGCAGGGCGTTCTTCCACTCTCTGTTTGCCATTTCCAGCTGGCCCCATCGCAGCACCGACCCCGCCTCGGCCCCGAAGCAGAAATTGAGGACGTCGGCGCAGTGGACTATGGCACGATTCGCCCAGACGAAGTCGTCTGCCGGGGTGGTTGATCGGTCGACAATGGCATGACCCAAGTTCATCCGGACGACCTGCTGGTTGATGACGGCGCTGTAGATCTCCTGACGCAGGCCCGCCCAGAAGCAGGCGGCCGTCAGCGTGCCCGGCATAAGGAAGCGGTCGCCGGCGTTGACGAAGGCGTGAATCCCAAGGAGATGGCCGTGCGTGTCTTGGCCGACTGTGTTTACGTCGATTTCTTCCAGGACGCGGAGGATGATTGTTGCCGCGAACAAGTTCTCGTCCGACACCGTTGCCGCGTGGTCCAGCAGCGGGATCAGGTAGTTGAGGCACTCGTCATGATATCTGTTTGACGCGAGCGAGTCGTACGCGCTTGTCAGGCTGAGATGCCGTGCTGCCAGCGCGAAGATTGCGTTGAGCAGGATGGGACATGAGCCGGCGCGTTGCGGCACCTCCGTCTCAAAGCTCCTTGACTGGTCGCACGCGTCGAGCTGGCACATTGTCAGAAAAGCGTCTTTCCAGTAAGCGGTTGCATTCATTTCAACATACCCAAAAACCCAACTTGTCCACGTAGTGACGAAACAGTGTAGCTTCCTGGCGTCCTTGGATCGGCCAGATGGGTCGGTCAGTGTAGATGCCTCCCGTCGGCGGCACGAGAGGCTCCAGCGGCGGCAGTATGTCGACAGATTTGGAATGCTCGCGAAGACTGTCATGCTGGCTGTCATGTTGACTGGTGTGATCGCCGCCAGGCGTACTCAGTGAGCCTCGCTGAGACAACAAAGGCTCATCGACAACACTGCTGCCATGAAGGCTCTCATCGGGAAGAGGCCAACTGGCGGCCTTTGCTGCTTGGAGCGACGGGCGTTGCTGCTGTTGCTCCTCAGAAATTACTGAGTCTCCCACGGTCGCCGCTTCGGGCGAGGTCGCTGTCATCTCTTCGTCGCCTCGCTCCTCATCACCTCGCGATGAGTTGGTTTCGATAGGCTCATCGCCGTCCGCCGTCTCGCCGAGCTCTACCCCGCGCGTCTCATCGATGAACTTGAGCTTCTTCGGCGGCGCTGGCCACTTGTGGCTCTCCTTGAAGACCGCATGCTTGGGTGCCCGAAACTTGTACCCCTTCTTGCACTCTCTCCCCGTCATCAGGCACCGCCCGCACACGGGCAGTACGCGATCACATCGCAGATGCTGTTCACGACACTGCTCACTGGGAAACGGTCAGCCGGTCTTTCTCGCCCGAAGTTTCTGTCACTCATCATCCGGCATCCAGCAACGGGCCCCGCGTCTCTCAATTGAGTCTCTCCCAACCCAATTGCTCTCATCAACTGCCTCCAAAGAAGCCATCGCCATCACTCTCAGCCATACTGAGGCTCTTCGCGCGCGGCTTCATCGCCCGTCCAGCCGTCGGCGCGAATGACCTCGTCTCCAAAACAGGCGTTTTTCTCCGCGCCCCCCGGCCCCTCCTCCAGTGGATCACCAGACTTGCGCGCGGTCAACTCACCAGGTCGTGGCACTCAACGAATCAGGCGCTTCGGGAGATGGCATGCCACAAAGCAATCTTGTCAATTCTTTCCGACCCCAGTGCGGCTGCTCTCAAGATTGAGTGAAACCCGGGGAAGATGGAGAAGATCTGGGGGAGCCCCTCGATTTTGAGCAGATCTGTGTATTTGGACGAAAGCTTGCGTCTGCCCGTCTGGGGCCGCGACGAATGACGTGTGTGGGGATTGCGACTTGTCAGCAGCGCAACCGACGACATCCCTCCACCCACCACACACTTTTTTTTTCACTCCAGGGGACTTCAGTGGTTTTTCTGGCTTGCGACCGGGCACTTTTTACTGCTTCCAGAGCGCATTTCTCAGTTGGGAATTGCTGGCTGCCAACCCCGATGCCCGAGCATGTCCCGACCCATTCAAACAGGACCCCCAGCCAGCACATTATTCAGGGTCTGCAACTCTCGCTGCTGGCCTCGCGAACTCTTTCTGAGGTCATTTTGGGGGCTGTGGCTCTTCGCATAAACATGAGAAACAAGCAGGAGTTTCCACCGCTCTTGCGCAGTCTTATTTGGACATGTCCCTCCCCCATCTTCTTCATGTTCAATTGGCACACACACACATGTTCATGTTCTGTCACACACTCTCCCGAGTCTCTCTCTCTTCGCGACTCATGTTCCTCTTCCCCAAGACTCTTCCTAGCCCAATGTGCCCTTGGTTCCAACGGGCTGGATGAACGATATGCTCACCTGACCAACACCCAACACAACGGCACACCATCCCACGGACCCCAAGACATGCACGCACACGCGGAGACGCAAACTCAATGGCGCCGGCGTCCAATTACTTCGGTTTCTCGTGAGGGGGCCAGACCCTGTCGAAGCTGTCAACCCCTCATCTCA